GTGTTGTTTTTATTTTCATACTAAATTTAATATTTTAGGATGATCTGAGACAGAAACGGGTTCAAGAAAACATTTTTAACTGTCATCATATTTATGTACAAATTCAGAATATTAACACACTTTAATTGTTTCGTTTAAGACTCGTTCACCTGGCAGCTCGTTAGCTTCGACCCACCTGGACAACCAGCAGGAGGATTTCAGATTGAAACCTCGGTGTGAGCTCAGTGGTTCAACAGTCTGCAGGAGAAAAACTAATGTCACGTGGCGTTAAAGCTCCTCGTCGTCTTCGCTCGCCCCCATGTCCAGCTCGTCTTTATGCTCGGCGCTCTCCGTCACAAACTCCTGCTGCTGCTCCTCCAGCTCCCGCAGCTCCCTCTGCAGGCGCTCCAGGTGCAGCGCGCGGCGGTTCCTCAGCTGGCGGCGAGGAAACGGGTTCATGTCGTTGAAGGCGATGCTGATCAACTTCCTGCGTGAGCAAACAGGAAGTGGTCACTGAGCTGCAGGAAGTCGTTCATGAGTCAGACTGAGGGTCTGACAAAGAACCCACCGACAAACAGAAACAACATCTGGACCTGAAAGTCCCGCCCCTTTTTAAAATATAAAACTTAGTTTGAGCTTCAGCTGCAGGTCCACAAGGAACCCTGCAGGTCTGTGAAGAACCCTGCAGGTCCACAAGGAACCCTGCAGGTCTGTGAAGAACCCTGCAGGTCCACAAGGAACCCTGCAGGTCTGTGAAGAACCCTGCAGGTCCACAAGGAACCCTGCAGGTCTGTGAAGAACCCTGCAGGTCCACAAGGAACCCTGCAGGTCTGTGAAGAACCCTGCAGGTCCACAAGGAACCCTGCAGGTCTGTGAGGTGGHCCTTGATCAGAGGACTGAGGCGTACCTGCTGTCAGAGATGGTCTTGGTGAAGAAGCGCAGGTACTGGTAGATCTCCACACTGTCGTTGATCTTTAGGATGTCGTCTTCTTTGTATTTAAAGAGAGCCAGAACGTACCTGAAGATCACCTGGAGCACAAAAACCWTTAATCATTAAATCCACATCAGAACCCAACAGAACCACAGTAAAATTTAGTTTATTTAGAATTTAAAGACCAAACCACCCTTTAGATTCATATCAGAGACTAAAGTTCTTGTGATGCATTCAGGTCCGTGTAGTGGTGTGTTCAGGTTCATATCGTGGGGAGTTCAGGTCCATGTYGTGGMGTGTTCAGGTCCATGTAGTGGTGTGTTCAGGTCCGTGTCGTGGTGTGTTCAGGTCCGTGTCGTGGTGTGTTCAGGTACCTTGGTGCCCTCYTACAGGAAGGCYTCCCACAGCGGCAGCAGGATGTCACTGGGCAGACTCTCCACAAAAACCACCATGAACCAGTTGAAGGTGATGAGCGACACGTCGATGCTGTGAGTGTCGAAGTGAGCCGCGAGGCGTGGAAGTTTCTCTGACAGGAAGTCCTTCAGGACCCACTGGTCCGCCTGAACACACACACACCACCAATCAGAGGTTCTGATCCAAGAGCTTCAGGTGAACAGGTACTTCTCCTCACCTGAGAAGCCAGCAGGGTCTTGGTGTAGTAGTCCTGAGGCATGATGGCTTCTACCACTGCCACCAGGCACCAGAAGGCATCTTCTTCATTCTGCAGTACGAGCAGAGCGATGGCTGCCAACCTGAGACACACAGGACACAGCTCTGTCACATGACCGCGTCACATGACCACGCCACATGAATGTGTCACATGACCGCGCCACATGACTGCGCCACAAGACGGCGCCACATGAACGTGTCACATGACCGTGCCACATGACCGTGTCACATGATAGCGCCACATGAACGTGTCACATGACTGCACCACTGAACGTTCATGTGACCGCGCCGTCATGTGACACGGTCATGTGACGCGGTCATGTGACACGGTTATGTGACCGCGCCACATGACCGTATCACATGATGGCGCCACATGAACGTGTCACATGACCGCGCCACATGATCGTGTCACATGACGGCACGGTCACATGAACGTGTCACATGACGGCGCCACATGACCGTGTCACATGACGGCGCCACATGACCGTGTCACATGACGGCGCCACATGACCACGCCACTTGAACGCGCCAAATGACCGTGCCACATGACCGCGTCACATGAATGTGCCACATGACTGTGCCACATGACCGCGCCACATGACCGCATCACATGATGGCGCCACATGACCGTGTCACATGACCGTGTCACATGACTGTGCCACATGACCGCGACACACGAACGTGTCACGTGACCGTGCCAAATGACTGCGTCACATGACCGTGTCACATGACCGCGTCAAGACTGTGCCACATGATGGCGCCACATGACCGCGCCACGTGTACGCGCCAAATGACCACGCCACATGGCCAACAAATCAAAGCTGTATCAGTATCAGAACAGGTGAGAACCTGTTCAGTCCCTGGCAGTAACCAACAGCAGGGTTCTGCCAGGAGAACGCCAACAGGATGCGGCGGAGCTGCTGGAGGGCGGGGCTAGACAGCGATGAGAAGTTCTGATTGGTGGTCAGGGTGCGATGGAGGTCCAGCTGGATCTGTCGGGACGCCGGGTGAGGAGACGTCCGGCTCTTCTCACACAGCTGCAGACACAGGAGCAGTCAGACCTCCACCAGGTAACCTCTGAACAGGTGTGGGCGGGGCCGTCTCAGCCTACCTGCTCGTAGCGCTCTGGGTGGCGCTGCCAGATCGTCCTGGTTCTGGTTCGGACCAGCCAGCGCCACACCCTRGGGCGATACTCTGGTGGGACGCCGGCGCGCAGCAGAGCCTTGAGCTCAGGAGACGGACACAGATTATCCTCCGACCTGCCAGCTAGGTACTCCGCCCACCGGGTCAACGAGAGACGCTCTACTCCCTCCTGCAGCGACACAATTTCAATTAATTTGTCTGAAATARAAACTAAAAAATTTAAAATTCTGGACCAGAGGCAGGTTCTGTAACCAAGTCCACTCCAGGGTTCGGACCTGGTGGAGCAGGTTGAAGCTCCGGATCTCCAGGGCCTGGATCTTAGCCAGCAGCTTCATGTCCTCCACCTCGTAGTCCGGGACCACCTTAAACCCGTACTCGTCATAATCCCTGAAGACACAGCAGAGGGTTTATTTTCCCCATGTCTTACTGGGGGTCACATGATTTAAAGAACAACTAATCTGGTTTTAAAGAAGTTTAACAGCTGTGCTCCAGATGTTTCTTCCATGTGTGTCAGACTCTGCTCAGGTGTYCGCACCTGTTCGAGCTGAGCTTGAAGACGCTCTTCAGCTCTCCTCTCAGAGCGTCCTCGATCATCTTCTGCACGGCCTTCTGCTGCTCTGGATCCAGAGACTTGGTCTCCTGCAGCTTCCGAAGGACGCCCAGGTAACGGCTCTCCATCTGACAGTTGGTGGCCTCCAGGAAGGCGCACTGCAGCCAATCAGAAAGCAGGACAAAASATCCGACCAATTAGAAGACAGGAAACAGTCAAAGAACTAGTCCTAGTCCAGGAGATGTCCTGGTGTACACAGATGGACCCACCTTCACCATCAGGCTCTTCTCCTGCTCAGAGCTGTTCCTCCACAGTTTGGTCAGCTGGTAGATCTCAGAGTTCAAGAACTTGTTCTGGGTCTTGTAGGCCTCAATGTCGTCCTGAAGTCCAGAAACCAAAACAGAATCAGAACCCGGATCCAGAAGGACTGAAATAAGCTGCACAGGACTCCAAATACCAAAAACTGGACCTGCAGGTCATCAACATCACAGGAGCATCACTACACAGAGTACTACAGGTTTACTGCAGAGTACTACAGGTTTACTGCAGAGTACTACAGGGTTACTGCAGAGTACTACAGAATTACTGCAGAGTACTACAGAATTACTGCAGAGTACTACAGAGTAACTGCAGAGCACTACAGGGTTACTGCAGAGTACTACCGAGTAACTGCAGAGTACTACAGAGATACTGCAGAGTACTACAGAGTAACTGCAGAGTACTACAGGGTTACTGCAGAGTACTACAGGTTTGCTGCAGAGTACTTCAGAATTACTGCAGAGTACTACAGAGTAGCTGCAGAGTACTACAGGGTTACTGTAGAGTACTACCGAGTAACTGCAGAGTACTACATAGTAACTGCAGAGTACTACAGGGTTACTGCAGAGTACTACAGAGATACTGCAGAGTACTACAGAGTACTACAGGGTTACTGCAGAGTACTACAGAGATACTGCAGAGTACTACAGAGTACTACAGGGTTACTGCAGAGTACTACAGAGATACTGCAGAGTACTACAGAGTACTACAGGATTACTGCAGAGTACTAGAGTACTACAGGATTACTACAGAGATACTACAGAATAATTTCACCTTCAGGTTCTCGACAAGCTGCTGCAGCTGCTTCATGGTCTGAGAGTCCTGAACACGACTGGAGGACGAGTCGGGGCGGCGCTGGTCAGTCAGACAGGAAGTCACCTGATCAGACAGCTTCACGATCACCTGAAAGGAAACAGGAAGTGCAGAGAGACGAACAGCTGGTTGGTACCTGGACCACTCCACTTGAAGCAACACAAACAGGAAGAAACCAAAGTCTGAACCAAACCTGATTACAACACCAGGAGCCTCGTGTACAAAGACTTGTGTGGATTTCTTACTGAAACCTGACGTACGGTCAAATCCAGAAAARGYCGTACGCACAAAAAAATCCAGATGTATCAAACCGTGCGTACGCCTGAATCCACGCACATTTCTTTGAGGCCCCAGGAGTGTCCTGCAGATGTTCTAAACATCTGTTTGTCGTCAGATCAGAAGTTCTGATGGTTTCAAACATCTCCTGAGCTGTTGTGTTCCTGCACCTGCTGCTTGGCTTTGTTCTTCTCTGTCAGTATCCTGATGTTCTCCTGGAGCTCCTGCAGCTGTGCGTCCCTCTCGGACAGACTCCTCCTCAGCGCCTCTGCCTCCACCTTGGCGTCCTCCAGCCGGCCTCGCAGGTCCGCCGCCTGGCGCTCGCGGTGCCGCAGCACCTCCAGGCGCTCCTGCTCGTTCTCTGCTGCCAGAAACTCAGCACAGGTTCGTTTCTCCAGCTGGGACGCCTCCAGGGCTTTGTGGAGGATCCAGACCAGCTCCTGCAGGACATCATCATCATCATCATCATCATCATCATGTTCTGTGTTGTGTAAAAACAAAAACAATCTTATGCATCTGCTGAATCACCTTCTGAGCTTTGACCTCCTCCATCAGCATCTGTTTCTCCTGCTGCACCCGGGACATCCTCTCTGAGGACGAGGTGACCGTGACTCTGCGGCGAACCGGCATGGTGGACARGCTGCGAGTCTTTGTCCTCCTGTTGTAACTCTCCACAGGTGACAGGAGCTCGCCGGTGTCAGTCAGAGACACCTCACCTGCTGGATCAACCAATGGGAAGTGAGTGGGCGGGGCCTCGATGGGAGTTTCTGAGGAGGAAACTGACAGGAAGAAGTGACGTAATCAAATGAAGTCCAAAGAAACACTGAAGGTCCGACTCAACATATGCATTTAAACCATCACAGGTGGGTACATACTGTCTGAATGCTGTGAAGTACAACGTTAGTATGTTAGTACAACGTTAATATGTTAGTACAACGTTAATACGTTAGTACAACGTTAGTACTTTAGTACAACGTTAATATGTTAGTACAACGTTAATAC